TATAGTTTCGTTTAGGCAGTTTACTATCTTAATCTACTGTATGCCGCTATGTTTGGAAGAAATTCCAAAGCCGCGATGAGATCACGCCGTTGCGCGGCACCTGTCGGCAGCTGAGGCGCGTAGCCATTTCCTGGTATCTTATTCATACACAACTGCCGCACCTGCATCCCCCACCATGCGCGAATACTTTCTAGAGAAGGTGTTTGAGAAATGGGTTGGGGATAGTTTAACTTGGATTGCGATAAATTTGAAGTAACCTCCCCTGAAGATTGCGACTCGCCTTCAAAGGCCTCCAAAAGACGAAAAAGTGCGCTGCAGCTTACGCACGCGGCCGCACGCAACACGATACCCACCAATGAATCGTTTGCCTCCCTTTCCCCTTCCGCTTCCCCGCTTTCCTTTTTGTCCTCTTTTCCGACAGAATTCAAAAAAGAACTCAGAAACGAGCAAAGCAAACGTACCTCCTCTTCTTCCGAATCATTTTGGAGATTTAACGCCCTTTCGGTGCATACAAGATCCCCTTTGTTCTCCCCAACGATTTGTTTTCCCGTTATTTGTGTGGTAAGCTGCACGAGGCTGTCAATTACGCAGGGGTGGAAGGGACTGAGGAGGCGCCAGGAACTGCTCACGGCGAGGCGAAAGGCCCTCACCGCTGCGTCCTTATCACAATCCTCCGTTAACGCTAGAAAGCCTTTTAGAAAAAGCAACAACGTGCGATGAAGTGAAGACCACGATGAAAAAGAAGAATCCCCCTTTTTATGTTCATTTGGTGAGCTTAAGATGCTGTGAGGAGTTAAATCCAGGTCACGATTGATAGTTTCTTCTTGGTGTGTTGTCTGATAGAGATGCGTTAAAGAGTGCATGATGCGGGCGAAAGCAGTAGCACAGCGTCTTTGCTGCGATAACGCAACCTCCCGCAATGCATACCCGCAGGAATGGAAAGACCCTTCGTCGATTTTAGAATCGCCTCTTTCCTCTAAACGAGGTCGTTTAGGCTTGATTGCCTCCGTTTCCTCTCTGAGATCATTGGTGCTACGCATTGGTGGTCGTTTTAACCCGTTCGTGAGGGTGTTGCTTGATGAGAGGGGTTCACCTAAAAGCTCCAACTCGACTTTCCCCGTCATTGCCTTTCCCACCGCGATCGCCTTAAAAAGATTGAGAAGCAGCATATTCGGCGAGGAAGAATCAGACGACGACACACTACAGCTTCGAAGATACCATTCCGCCGTTAATAAATGCGCCATCGGCAACCCCACATCCCGAGCGATCAGATCCCTTCCGCCTCCATCTTCCTCCGCGAGTTCTCCTTTTCTTTGGAAGCTCTCGCCATCGGCGGTGCCCCATGTGGGATGGGCCCGGTCCCAATACGACCAAAAAGCCTCCACCACCCCTCCGTCCTTTTCGCTTTCGACGTCGCCGCGTGGGAGATCCCGCAGGGAGAGGTGCAGGGCGACGCAGGCCGCGAGGAGATGCATCTCCGCCCTCATTCCCCACGTCGGGCCGTCAAAGACCGTCAAAAAGACCTGCAATTCGCGTAAATATCCCACGGCGCGGACCATGCGGAGCTGGAGAAGATGCCCCGCGATCATCCGCATCATCGCGGCGGCCTTTAGCTGAAGTAAAAAGCGCGTTTGCACGAAAACGCCACTGCGGAGGGAAATTCCAGTCGTGGGGGGACGATCGCGCGGGGGGGCATCCCCCTCCCCCCCCCGGGCGGGGTTCCCGGCCAGCCCCCACAACGTCTCCTCGATGGTCGTCATCAAGGCGTTAAAGACGCCTTCGAGATGAGGGATTTGGGCCTGAAAAGGCGCGCCGTTCCTCCCGGTGGGGTCGTGGTGAAGAATAAACCCTTCCGGGAGGTCCACCACGGCGTCGGGGTGGGATCTGGGAGACTCCCCTTCTGCCGGGGCCTGGGCAGGCCGCCCTCCCGATGGCGGGCCTTCTTTTTCCTTCACGTTTAGTCCAAAAGGCCCCCCCGCAGGGTGGCCACAACGGCAAAGCTGG